CCCCGTGGCGGGGGGGGGCTGGCGGAGCCGCCGAGCCCAACTCTTGATCTTGCGGCCCCAGGTCTTCTTGCTGACGGGGTTCTTCAGGCGGGGGCAATTAAAGCCCAGGGCGAAGTAGCCCCCCCCGGCGGGGGCACGGCCAGGGGTCCTCTCCTCTGGGGGGGCCTGTGGAGATGAGGGGTGATGAGGGGGTCACCATCGCCCCCCCCACACCTCCCCCCCCCCAAAAAAATGGCTACTGGGGGTTGGGGATGGGCATGAACAGTCTTTGATGGTCTTGAAGGGATCTCAAAGTCTTGGGGTTGGTCATCGATGGTCTTTGAGGGACCCCAAAGTCTTGGGGTTGGTCATCGATGGTCTTTGAGGGACCTCAAAGTCTTGGGGTTGGTCATCGATGGTCTTTGAGGGACCTCAAAGTCTTGGGGTTGGTCATCGATGGTCTGTGAGGGACCCCAAAGTCTTGGGGTTGGTCATCGATGGTCTTTGAGGGACCTCAAAGTCTTGGGGTTGGTCATCGATGGTCTTTGAGGGACCTCAAAGTCTTGGGGTTGGTCATCGATGGTCTGTGAGGGACCCCAAAGTCTTGGGGTTGGTCATCGATGGTCTTTGAGGGACCTCAAAGTCTTGGGGTTGGTCATTGATGGTCTGTGAGGGACATCAAGGTTGTGGGGTTGGTCATCGATGGGTCTTTGAGGGACATCAACATCATGGGGCTGGGGACTGTCATCAATGGGTCTTTGAGGGCCACCAAGGCTGTGCGGTTGGTCATCGATGGTCTTTAAGGGACATCAACAACATGGGGTTGTGGACCATCATTGATGGGTCTTTGAGGGACCCCAAAGTCTTGGGGTTGGTCATCGAGGGGTCTTTGAAGGACCTCAAAGTCTTGGGGTTGGTCATCGATGGTCTTTGAGGGACATCGAGGTTGTGGGGTTGAGGGACATCGAGATTGTTGGGTTGGGGACCTTCATTGATGGTCTTTGTGGTCTTTGAGGGACACCAAGGTCTTGGGGTTTGAGGGACACCAAAGTCATTGGGATGGGGACGGTCATTGATGGTCTTTGAGGGCCACCAAGGGCTTGGGGGATCTCTGGTCCTTGGGGGACACCAAAGTCTCGGGGTTTGGGGACAGTCATCGATGGTCCTTGGGGACACCAAAGGTTTGGGGCTTGGGGACAATCACCTCTGGTCCCGGGGGTGTCTCCTGCTCCCAAGCTCCGGTGCCAATCTTCTCCTCTCCTCGGGTGACGTCCAGCTCTTGGGGTTTGGGGACAATCATCTCCTGGGCTCCATCCTGCTCCCGAGCTCCGGTGACAATTGTCCCCTGTCCCTTGGGGCCACCCAGGTCCCGGTGTCCGGGGACGATGGTCTCCGATCCTTGGAGAACGTCAACCTCTTGAGGTTTGGGGACAATCGGGGTTGGTTGACCAGGTCCCACCTGCTCCCAAGCGTCACGGCTGATTGTCCCCAGTCCTTGAGGGACATCTGCCTCTTGGGGGTTGGGGACGGTCATCTCCTGTCCTTGAGGGCCACCAGGGTCACAGGGGTTGAGGACAGTCATCTCCTGTCCTTGAGGGCCACCAAGTTCTTGGGGTTTGGGGACAATCGTCTCTGGTCCCTCAGGAGCATCCGGTTCATGGGGTTTGGGGACAAACATCTCCTGTCCTTGAGGGCCACCAAGGTCACCGGGTTTGGGGACAATCATCTCCGGTCCCCCAGGGCCATCCTTCTCCAATGTTCCAGTGGTGACCATCTCAGGTCCTGGAGGTCCACCTGGTTCTTGGAGACCTGTGGTGACCATCTCAGGTCCTGGAGGTCCACCTTCTTCTTGGAGACCGGTGGTGACCATCTCAGGTCCTCGAGGGCCACCTTCTTCTTGGAGACACTTGGTGACCATCTCAGGTCCTGGAGGGCCACCTGGTTCTTGGGGATCGGTGGTGACCATCTCAGGTCCTCGAGGGCCACCAACATCAAGGGCCACCTCCATTTCGCCACCACGGGATGTCCCCAAGGTTCTCCGGCCAGGTTGAGGTCCCCCAGGACCTGCAAGAAGGTGACCCCCCACCCATCCTTGAAGGAGGTGGGGGAGGGGAGGAGAGGACAACCCGTGTCCCCAACCCCCCCCACCGCCACCCCCACCCCTTGGTGTCCCCTTTGGTGTCACCCACCGGTGGCTTCTCGGTTCCTGATGGTCTGGTTGATG